CACAGCAATTTAATGCAAATGTGCTTGGATTTGGCAAAGATATCTTAAGCATGTGCATTTTTGGAAATAAGATCCCTTAATTTGGGGGACCTTTGGTCCATGGCATTATTTAGGTTGTTTCACGGTGTTTGGACTGGTCACTAAGTCCAACTAATGGTTGTGATGGAGTTAATTTGGTGACTTTAGGGTGGTTAGGTCACCTTTAGTGCATGGGTCCAAGTGGGTGCAAATGACCAAAACTTGGGTTTGTGCTAGTTTAAACATGTCAATTGGCCCAAATAAATATTACATTTGGTGTAGATGATCATAAGAAAAACCTTTTGTGAATAATGGAAGTGGTTTTGAGCTCAATTGAAGAGTCAATTTGAGGGAATTTTGATTTTTAGTCAATTTGTTCATGTTGAGCTAAGCTTGGTTTAGCCTTGGGCTAAGTCCAAATTGATTGTTGTAAATGGTCCATATGGACCTCATGATAAGTTTTTAACATGAATTGGATGCCAATTTGGAGGTTAAGGATATCAATTGGGTGAAATTTTGGGACTTAGCCAATTTGGGGCTAAATTTGAGAATTTTGGATTTAGGCCAAAATTAAATGGATTTGAGGCTTCATCAGGGCCAATTGATGGTTGATTTTGATGTGTAAGAATGTTGTAAAGATTTTGCAATATTAATTGAGGCCAATTGACTAGGCTATGGGTTCAATTGAATGAGATTAAGTCTTATGGTCAAGATTGGAGTTTTGACCCAAATCAAAATTGGGCTCAAATCATAGACCAATTAAGCCTGGATTTGGTTTAGTTTGGTCATATCAAAAGTGAATTTGAGTTTAGGATGGGAATTGGGGTCAATTAAGATCAAATTGATAGATATTTGAGATGGATTTGGAGAATTTTGGGTTAAAGAGGGGCAATTTGAGGATTTTGGTTAAAGATTGCCAAATTGGTCAAGTTGGGTCAGTGGTAGTTGAAAAAGATAAAATTGGGTATATTTGGGATTTATTGGAATTTTCTGAGAATTTTAGAATTTTTGGGATTTTGGGTTAAAAATTGTCAAATTGGTCAAATTGGGTCATGTGGTAGTTGAAAAAAATAAAATTGGGAATATTTGAGATTTATTGGAATTTTCTGAGAATTTTAGAATTTTTGGGATTTTGGGTTAAAGGAGGGTTCCAAGAGTAGTTAGGTAATTTGGGGGTGTCTGGGGCAAAAGACCTAAGATGAACCTTTCAAGTAGAATTGGATAGATATCTATCCTAAATGAATCATGGATCAATAAAATCCCCATTTTGGGTCCCCATATATTGGTCTTAGCTAGGGTATTGTGAGGATATCGTGTACCTTAACTCCAAACCAACACCCAGGGTCAATCCTAAGGCCAAGTAGTCCTATAGGAACTCTTATTGAGTTTCCTCATAATGATCTTACCTACTAAATGCTAGAGGTTAGGACCAATATGTAGAATTTCAATTTGAGTAAAGAGAAGAGTTTTGAGTTTCTAATGGTGAGGATACCTTTTCTAGTTTTCTAAGACTAGTCAGTAGGAAAGTCCTATGGCTAGACCTAGGCTACTAAAGAAGTTTCTAGACCTCAACCAAAAGTGAGGTCAACAGGGGGTTATGTGTAGGTGAGTGGGGTGAGTCCTCACAAAAGTGAGATCAATAGAGAGCCAAACCCCGACATCTGCCCACAATAGTGGTAGCTAGTCTACCACTGCATGTCCTGATTTTGAGCTTTGGACGCAAGCCGAGAGAAATAATAAGCGGAGGGTCTGAGGCCTAAGCACAATGGGCATAACATTGGAGGATGAGCTCTCCAATGCTTCGATGGGTGGCTCAAGCTTGTTGCAAGCGGAGCATAAAGAGCTTTTCATGGCACGTTGGTGCTATAAATGAAGAGATTTGTCAGATGCATGGTCAGATGCGTGGCTTGATCAATATTAAAAAAATTATTGTTAATATAATACAATTAATAAAGCAATTATAAAAAAAATAATTTGAGGAATTTTTTTTTCAAAAAAATTTATTTATTATGATCTAGTACTGCAAATGATAAATAACTTAAAGTTTGCAACAATTATCTTATAAATTTAATCAGATATTATAAAAATTACAATAAAAAGATTGGAAATTTTAAATTTTAAGTTGCGCAAATGACGTGAATATTTTTGAGAAACGGATATTGTTTGATCAATTCATCTCTGGAGGAATTGTCAAATTCTTAATTTGACATATTTTAGTAGTGTGACTATATGTTCAAATTTAAGTTTTGACTATGATCTTTATGTTATAGAATTACATTAGGGGCCTAAAATGGTTAAGTTGAGCATGAATCGAGCCAGATTGATTAATCAAAATCGAGCTCGAGCTTTAATTAACTTATTTAACAATTAATTAATTTAACAAATAATTGATTAAAAGCTGAACATAAAATGTTCTTGATTAAACAAATTTATGCTTGAGCTTAACTATTTAACAAAGAAATTAACTACATGCCCAACACAAAATGTTCACTAAAAAGGAGCTTTTTTTTACAAGGGAATCTAATATTAAATATTTATGTTATAATATATTGCAGATAATTTATAAATATAAAAAAAATAATATTAAAAATCATAATTGCCATATACTCCGTTTAAATGAGACATTTGACCATAAAATATTTTCTAATTAAATTATTTTCACCCTATATAAATTAAAATATGCGTGAATTATTTTTCTCAAATTTAAACTAGATAATATACAATTATTACCAAAATTAGCAATAAAAATTTGAATTTAAAATTTAAATTCTGAACCGTTGTAAGAGACTTTACCGTTGAGAGAGATTCAAAAATTGCGCTTCTTCTATTTGTCCTATAAAAGTGAAAATTGGTTGGAATTCTGAATTATACATTTCCTCTGTCTTTCTTCTTCGGCTCCTTCATCGATAACAATGGCCGGCGGAGGGCGGAAGAAGACGGAACTGAAGCTGATCGAGAGGAAAGATTCGCGGCTTGTGTGCTTCAGCAAACGCCGCTCGGGTCTATTCAAAAAGGCGAGAGAGCTTTCGATCCTGAGCGGGGCTCAAATCGGAGCGCTTGTCTTCTCCCCTGCCGGTAAGCCTTTCGTCTCGGACGCGGGAGAAGAATGTTGGAGTACGGTGAGAAGAAGATGTCAGGCTTCCAGCAGATGGATTGCTAGACGAGAGAGCAGGCGGTTAGAGAATGAATCAGGAGAGCTACAATTACAGACAGACGAAGGCAACAATATTCTCCTAAATGGATTGCTTGTATATTCAGTTAGAGAGAAGAATTTCTCCTCTTCTCGTTTTAGCTCTGTTTTGAAAATGTATTGTCCACCCTCATTCTTAGTTTTCTTAGAAGATGATTTGGTATATGTTTGATTTGATATTCATACTACTTGATGAAACAATATAAATTTCAATGTTTTTTTCATGTTTTTGTTTTTATGTACCATATTTGCGTTCGCTTTTTTTGGTGCTCTTGAAAGAGGGTTTCACAGATTTCTGCCTGTAACCCTAAACAAAAAATAAATACATAAAAAAGAAATGAATTGACAAAAATATTGCTCATGGCTACACACTAAAGAAATTTTACCATCATTAAGACAATGGATGGAATTTTGAAAAATGGAAATATGGTAAAAGAAAATCAGAATGGAATATTTACATACCTACCACACAATTCTTATGTAGTTATATATGTAATGCATACACTTCAATTTTTTGCATATATGTCACCTTACCAATGCATCAAAATATGTATTTATTCTCTTAGAAGTTAAAATAGTGATAGTTTTTATGTGAAATGAATGATTTGAGTGGTCTAAATGTAAAAACAAAGTTTAGGTGTTAGATATTTAGACGGCGCAAGACTTAAGTGCACCATATGCAAATGCAGTCAATGACAATTTTGAAGTTAGATAATGAATATTTTATTATGCATAGAACTTTTAACACTTCATTTTAATTTTTGAAATATAAGGTTTGCATTAGCTTTGAAATTGGTGCTCATAATATAATTGTCTATCTCTTCTATCCATTCATAAGCTAGAGTTATCCAATTGAAATTACAAGGTCTTCAACAACTTTTTTTTCAAGCAATTGATTGAAATAATTTTTTTCATTCATTGTTTTTTACATGATAATGGAATAAAGAAACAAGAATGTGTGCTTAAAATCACTCGGGAAAGAATTCCTCAAGTGATTTCAGCGTTTGAGAAAAAAACAATATGATTGATGATCTTAGGATCTGATTCATGAGTGCAACTTCAACTTGACATTAAAGATTACATTTTAATGCAACTCAACTCAGTTGTATATCATATTAATCATTTGGACTAATAAATCTTCTTATCTTTTTTCATAACATAGGTAGCCAGAAATTTAAAATCATTCAAGTTCATAAGACATGCAAATGCCTTTGTATATATCTGAAGTGCAGCCAACTTGGGCCTGGTCGAAGCTAGCGGATTGCTTTGTTGTTTTCTGGATCAATGACTAAGTCACCAAGCTCAATAAACTTGTTTTTGGATCTAACAATGCTTAAATGAACTGCTCTTACCAGCAGTTCAACAAATTGTTGGTGCCAATAGTACAATCATCGTTCTTTCAGTGATGAAGGTATAGAGGAAATGATGCATCTTATCTGGGATTCAATGGTGGTGAGTTGATATAGTTTAAATATGCTTCAAACAAAATTAGTTCTTTTCATTTATTCTTTATAGCTTTAAGTTGTCTTCAAAAACAGATCGGAAGAGATCGGAAGACTTCCATATATAAATATAACACTTAAGCTTCAATTTTAATATACATGCCATTGTCATCTTAAACATGCATGAAAGCTGTATTTCACTATTTTTCAAATTAAAATGGTGGTATTCTGATTGTGATATGAAAGATTTGGGTGGTATAAATATAAAAAAATGAAGTTTTTGGTGTTAGATATGCAAATACATAAGATTTTAGTGGTATGTATGTACATGCTTGGTTTTTAATTTCTGTAATAATTTTCCAACATCTATTACATGAGTCCGGACAGATATCTGTAACAGATTAAGTGTATAACAAACACTGAAAGGTATGATTCTCATATATTTTTTTTTTTGATTGATATGCAGAAGGAATTTTCGGATTTAGGCAGACAGAAGGATTTAGCGGAGCTCAAAATATGTTTGGTGGTTTTTCTTTAAATCCACACGCAAATCTGCCTTAAAATTGCAACTGTTCATACCACTATTTCAGATTAAGATTTCACCCATTTTTTAAGAAGAAAAATTTACTCCATACGAAGAAGATGAAGTTTAAAACGACTTGTGTATATTGAATGCTTTGTTTTTTAGAAGGCATATGAACTAGATGGAGTTTAAACAGATTTTTGTATATTGATTGCTTTATTTTTTGAAGTTTTACACAAATACAACTTAATTCTTATGTATTTACCAATCTAATACCAAAATTTAAATTTTTGCATATATGACACCTTCAATGTGCATTAAAAGGTGTATTTCATCTTTTAAAGGTTATAATAGGGGTAATTTTTTAATGGTTAGGGTGAAATATCTTGGTAGCTAAAATGCAAAAGGAAAGGGCTTTTACCTACAAACTACCCAATATTTATGTATTTACATATCCAACACCTAAACATTATATTTACGTTTCTATCTCCAAAATCTTCATATCACATAAAACACACCACAATTTTAATTTAAAAAATTGAAATGCATGCTTTCATGCATAAAGAAGGTGGAATGTAAAATTAAAGGTTTGGTGTTAGATATTTAAATACATAAGGATTGAGTGATATGTGTAAATTTCCAAAATGAAAATTTTGTTTATTGATTTGTATGAAATATGCATGTTATTTTTATGATATTCTTATCTTTATTTATGTATTTTTATGTTTTTCGTGGTATTTGTGGTTTTACAGGTGATTAGGCAACTTGGAGACAAGAGAAATGAAATAGATCCAAAACGGGCTGCACCAGACCTAAATTCTCAAAACTGAAACGTCCCCTAGGCACCAATTTGGCCTCGAACCAAAGCCACGGCACCCAAGCACCCGAAAATGGCTCGTTGTTCATAGACAATTCGTGTTTGGCTCGTTAAGAAGCTTGTCTCCGCTTTGTTCACTGAGTAAACTAGTCGAACTCGAATAACTTTTTTTGCACTCTATATATAAACGAGCCAAAAAAGAAGAAAATTTTTTTCATTCGTATTTGACCGTTTTTGGCTCGAAATAATACTCATACAATTAATTAATTAATGAGTACAGCTCGTGTTTGCGAACAAAGATTTCTTGCCCCAACCCATAACATCCTACACTGCGTGAAAAGGGTTGTCAAAACGACTTTTTGTTCGCAAATAGCTTGAACTAGATTCGCGAGTAGCTCATGCTCGGCACAGACATATTTTTTTGTGTTCAAAATATAAACGAGCCAAACACGAGCTTAGGCTGAGCTCGCTCTTGTTCGGCTCGTTTACATCCCTAGTTCTAAACGCCCAGAAAATCATAAGTGTGATATTACCTTTTAGCATCTCAATACCTGTCGTTTCATGAAAGGAATGATATATATGCATTGATCGAACCATTTGGGGATATATGATCATTGCAGAGTATTCTAAAACTTGGTGGAGAAAGATCAGAGATAAGAATTTGAGAATAACGCTCGCCGCATTCGACATGCTTTGTCAGAGAGATCTTAGAAGAGTGTGAGTGTGTGTTAGAGTTCTCTTGAGAGAGAACATGTGGTGCTTAAAATTTTTTGTACTCGAAATAGGAGAAAACTCGAGTTTTTCTTGTAATTTTGCATAACCTCAATGAAGAATATCAGTGAGATTGTTCTAACTATTTTAATATTGATTTTATAATATAATATTTGTTGTATACATCAATAATGAGCAATTTTTAAATTTTTCTATCCCTTGAATTAGAATTTATGAAAATTAATATCATTTTGGTTATGTGAATGTGCGTAATTTTTATTTTAAGTTGATAATTTAATCTTCTCCATGTAATTTACTCCTAAATTAATCACTTAGAATGGTAAAACCGATTGTGATATATTAAGATGATAATTAGAGTTATATCAAAAAATCCGGTTTGCATAGGACCATTTCAAGAAAAGATTTCTATTATTTTTTCAAACTCAAAACTAGGCTAGATTTTATTTTTTGCAAAAGTTATTATTAGAAATTTTAAAATCACCAAATTTTGATTCTTTGGGCTATAATCAAAACTTGTATACTATAACTTTTTTAAACTTTGGGAGTCCGCTTGTTCCTTGTGGGATCAAAATGCTAACTCAATTTTTTATACTACTTGATCGATATGTATACTCATGTATACCGTATTTGCCATAACATTTTAGTTGTAGCAATTTTTTAGCGCTATTGTCGGGTAATAACGTTGAATTTTTAATTTTTGGAGAACTTTAGTTGAATCGTTGGGTTTAGACTTGAAACTTGTTATCATTTTCTTATTTTATTTATTTGGTATGTTTTATGTTAAAAAATATAAAAAAAAACATCAAGTTTTGTACTTCCTGTTTCTAATATTTTACATATATTTATGTTTATCTTATTTATTTTCTTAAATTTGTGTGTATAGTGTTCTTTTAGATTTAGGGTCACTCACCCGATAGTCCTAGTTCTGGATGCATAAGACAGGAACTACAGAACTAATGCCGTATGAATCTGAACATAAGAAAAAAATTGAAAAAAAAATCTACAAAACTTGACAAGATATTGAAGAGAAGTCAAATTACCAGATGTTGTTAATCTTAACTTCACAAGTAGTTGTTATATCAAAAAAATTGACAATTTAGATTTGAATTTTGCATCGAAATCAATAATGAGTGATGAAAATTATTATGGACAATTGGGGATCAGAGTGTTTGCGTCTATAGAGTCCTAGAATGTAATTGATAACACACTCAAGTAACCTTATCATAACACTTACAACCTTGATTGAAAAAATCATCTTAATTTTTATTGGAATGAGAACCAAAATGTAGGAAATAATTAGTCGGTTAGTAACCAAAAAAATATCCTAGAAAATTGAAGCATTTATGGTAGTAATTTCTTCAACCCCGAGCCTAATTATTCTTTTGAACTCATCTCAAATACTTAATTGGAGAAGATAAGAAATTTGGAAGATTTTGTGTTGCAAATTGGAAATCAACTAGAAAGTCAAGTTGTACCCATAAGAAGTATAGTAAAAGGTGAACCTTGATTGGTTTTGTGTTCTTTTGAACCTTGATTGGTGGTTAGCTAGCTCGTTGACTCGTAGATGTCAGAGGCATTGCCTAGTAACACTGAGGTGAATCATAGGGACCAAGATGAAGAGCACTGAAAATTTATTAAACTTAGCAATAGAGAGGATT